TCATGTGTACAGGACAGGGAGTTAATAAAAGAATTATGACAAAGAATACAGTATAATAAATATATATATATATATATAATATATATATAATATATATATATAATATATATATAATATATATATTATATATGCTATATATATATATATATATTATATATATAGTATATATATATATATATATATATATATATATATATAATATATATATATATATATATATATATATATATATATATATATTATATATGCTATATATATATATATATATATTATATAATATATATATTATATATGCCTAACATTACTTTTTTAAGAAACGTTGAACATTTTGAGACTGTTGTACTAACACGTGTCATTGTAATATGAACGTGGCTTCGGACAAATTTGTGTTAGTAATTCACAATTAAAAAGTTTTTCTTTTTGATCAATGAATGTTTTATGTTTCCTATTTGCAGTACTCAAACACTAAGCCAGCCATTGTACTATATGTATTTCATAAGCTTGTTTGTACTTTCCAATATCATTATACACACTTATACATATGCACTGGAAAGATAACAATGGTATTATTAAATACTGTGATTAAGTTTACTAAAACAAATCATGGGTTGAGGATGTTTTATGAGTTGGTTCTTGTTTAGGTATAGAAGATAAAAGATATATATATATATTTCTGCTTTAATTAGAATATACAGAAGTGATTGGCAATAAATATCCATAGCATTAATTTCTGTGTTAATATTTACTGTCTTGTGATATAGATGCTAAGCTTTGTTAACCTATAGGAGTCAATATGTAAGCCAACACTGATTTTAATCACTGTACTACAATTTTGCTTTAGCAATTACAATTCAAATTTAACTTATTGGGAAGGATAAGTGCATACTATACTTCACTTTCATTCATATAAACAATTTGTGTGTTTATAATCTTTCTTTGCTTAAAGGAACATGCAGAGGTGCCTAATTATGCTTGGATTGAGTGTTAAGCATTATAAATGTTAATAAAGTCTTTCACAATGCGTTGCCTGTATGTAATTGAATGTATGAAAAGATCACAGATTAAAATTTATAAATGAACTTATATTTCAGGGTGATACGGAACTTGTTTGTTTTTGCTCTCTAAATAAAATGAAAGATTAGAGTTCATATAGTGTAGGGAAACAAGTACACATGTCGTTGTTAAGATAAAAAAAATATCAATCATACTGATTTGTTTAATTCTACAAATTTGTTAAATCTAATTTAGTGGGTAATGTAGTTGTTCATTGGTCAATATTAACCCCATTTTGTCTAAAATCATCATAGAACAAGATAACAGATTTACTTCCAGCGTGTGTGTGTGTATGTGTATATATGTTTGTGTGTGTTTATACATGCACACACACTTTGTTTCCAAATTATTTAGTTACAAGAGTGCTCAAATGAATAAAATATGGTCTAGCCTTTCTAAGATATAATACAGACATACGAAGGTAATCTCAAGGTACCATCTCACTGAATTTCACAAATTCATTTTGTGTGGTTGCATAAATGTGTGCATTATGTACCCCTAATGTAATTTGAGTGGGTGCTGCTATCTTAATAGAAACAAAATATCAAGCAGTATATATGGCAGAGATACATTCACTTCTCCATATGTGCACATGTAGAATCATACATATATGTGTGTGTGTAATTACCTAAGTGTAATTACCTGCAGGATGAGATGCTTGTGGCATCCCATCTTCCCAAAGTACTCTGTCATATGATGCTTTGAAATTACTGACTGTGTTGGTATCCCCCGCCTTCTCACTCGGCTTGTTCCAACTCTACAACATTGCAAAGTGAACTTTCTAATGTTTTTTTTGGCAGCTTTCTTTCCATAGCTTAAATCTACGATCACTTGTTCCTGACATTCCAGGTTTCAAGAATTCTTCTTTATCAGTTTTGTCTATTTCCATTACTATTTTGTATGTAGTGATCATCTCACCTATATTTCTTGTATCATCTAGCTTTGGCCTATTTAACATCTCTAGTCTCTCTTCTTAGCTCTTGTTTTTCAGTTCTAGAAGCTATTTTGTTGAATGCTTTTGCACCTTTTCCAGCTAACTGATGGGCTTCTTGAGATATGGGCACTGTATAACAGCTGCATATTCCAATTTTGGTCTCACAAAAGTTTTGAACAGTTTGTTTACTATTTCACCATCCATGTACAGTATTTAAGAGTGATTGTGTGTTTGCAGGAATCAGACTCCATGTTATTTCTTATTTATTACCCATTTCTTGTTACAGAAAAAAGTTTTATGCTTATGCTGTCTTGTATTTACACATTCTATAGTTTTTTTGTTAAATCTTCTGGTGGTTTTAGAACACAACCTCTTTCTGGAGCTTATTCTAAAAATCAGTTAGTCTTAATTGGCAAGAAATACTTCCCCTTTATTCTTTCTATACATTTTTCTGCTGTTTACAACTGTAATCTCTTGTTTTCTCTAGTTCTTGGTTACAAATGTAATTTCATGTTTAGTTCTGGTTTATAACTGATTTGTTCTCTTCATTTTTTAGTTTATAACTGCTCTCTTTTGTTATGATTAATTACTCTGGTTTCTTGTGTTTAGTTCTGATATGACCCATTCTTGACTGTCGGTTTTCTCTTAATAAGAAAATTTATGCAGTATGATTATTATATCTGACTTTCTCTACCATCTTCAAGTTTAAACACATCCACAAACTCTAATCTATCTTTGTTTATGTGTCTCATTGCTTGAGTTAGTTAATTACAAAAAAGATATTGTACATCCCTGTACAGTTAAATCTTAATTTATAAGTTCATTCTATTTTGGCTGCCTTTCCTATAAAATTGACACTACTTGGAACAGTGTAATTACCTAAATAATTGTGTGTGTGTAAGTACCAAAATGTAGTTACAGGATTAGAGCTACGCTCGTGGTGTCCCATCTTCCCAGCACTCTTTGTCATATAACGCTTTGAAACTACTAACAGTTTTGGCCTCCACCACCTCATTTAACTTGTTCCAACCATCTACCACTCTGTTTGCAAAAGAAAACTTTCAGATATTTGTTGGCACCTTTGTTTCCTTAGCTTAAATCTGTGTCGTCTTGTTCTTGAAGCTGCTGGTTTCAGGAATTCCTCTTTGTCAATCAGTGTGCGTGTGTGTGTGTGTGTGTATACTCGCCTAGTTGTGCTTGCGGGGGTTGAGCTCTGGATCTTTGGTCAAACATGTGTGCACGTGTGTGTGTGTGTGTGTGTGTGTGTGTGTGTGCTATTCAGTCAAATTGCACATAAAGTAAACATTAACACACTGGATTAAGTAAGACTGCACTCATTTACTCAGTAAGACACTGTGGAAGGATGACTTGACACAAAGAAAATAATTTTAGCACATGATCATTTAAGTTTGAAGAAGTAGAGTATTCTCCTTGGATATATTATGATTTACTATATGCATATGCTGCCTGTCTTTCATATTTCCTTACTGCCAAGCTTAACTAAGATTTTATAAAGGTTTAATGAACATTGCTTTAAAGAAAATAACTTTGGAAACATGGAGGTATAAATGGAAACTACTGTATTACAATTTAATGATAATTAGTAAAAAACTCTGCATAAAACTGAAATTTACTGTACAGGTACTTGAATATATATTTTAAAAAATAAAGTTTCCGTCTTTCTCCATAGTCTTTACCAAGCGAGCACTGATATTATTTTAATCCAGTTTTCCAAATAAGAACAATATTATTGCACATAAATTAATGGTCACTAAACTGTCAGGCAATAATTTTACATTTAGATTTTCCTCATTTCAGTAGAAAAACAAATTTCATATTCTGTAACCACATTATTTAATATACAGTATATTTCAATGAGATTAATCACATGACATGTGACTTGTTACTAAATACATGCATTAAATAATATAGACTATATTATCACCAATAAATGATTGCTAGTTTAAACTCTGATGTAACATTTTTATTACATTAATTTACCTGACGTCAATTTGTCATTCCTGAGAGCAATGCTACTAACCAAAATATCATGATTAAAAGTAATTGAAAATCAATTAACATTTTGGTAAACCTTTGGTTACAAAATTCAATACATAAAAAAGTGTACAGAAGAAATATATAAATGTAGAAACGTGACTTTTGGACATGATGGAGAGAAGTACTAATGTGGTAGGTGTAATGTTTTAGCTATCACTGCCCCTGGCGATCTACATGTAGTCAGTGTACAGTAGTTGGCTAACAGCGCTGTCCCTGAACACCTATATTAAATCAGGGTACAGAACTTTTACACTGCTCTGACCCTGATGATGTACATGTAGTCAGGGTACTCTAAGTCTTTATACGAAATAATAAAGGATTATATTTCAGGAATCCTGTTTTCTTGGCCTTGAATGTGTGTCGTTAGCATATGAGAACTGATCATTGCATATTTTTATTAGGCAAATGAACAAATTAATTTAATTGTTTCAACTGTATATTTTAATTGTGTTGAATTTTATTCAAACAAATTTAATTGTGTTTAATTAATACAGATTATACATTCTGTATAATTTAATTGTGTTTCAATTGTATATTTATCCATTTCATTGAACTGTGATGCTTACAACTTTTTTTTTTTTGTAAAAAAAGAGCACAGCATAATGCCTGCAGGCATAATAATAATAATAATGATGATAATAGTACAGGTAATGCAAAAAACCTTGTAACCCTGACTGGACTTCAGTGAAAGCCTCAGGATCCCTAGTTGAATCCCTTCAGTTGAATCCCAAGTTATATTATGTCTGGCCAAGTTATGGTGTGCAGGCGATGAGTCACAATAACGTGGCTGAAGTAGTTTGACCAGACCACACACTAGAAGGTGAAGGGACGACGACGTTTCGGTCCGTCCTGGACCATTCTCAAGTCGATTGTGAATGGCACAATCGACTTTCGGTCCAGGACGGACCGAAACGCATCGTCCCTTCACCTTCTAGTGTGTGGTCTGGTCAAACATGTTATGGTGTAGTGATGTAAGCTTGCAAGTACCCAGTGGCATAACCAGAACTGTGGGTTTGCCATCTCCTTGAGGTGCTGAGGTCTAACTCCTACTGAGGTTATATATATGTGTGTGTGTGTGTATATACAGTATAGGTACACACACATAATGTACACAGTTAGGAAGTAAGGACGGGCATTGTGAGTTCATACTCGAGGGGATATGGCTTATCAGTTCGTGCCCTTACAATGGAAGACTAGGCCTTTAGCAATCCACTAGGCATCCCCAAAGACACAATAGTCATGCTGCTCATGTAGTAGACAGCAAAGGCATCCATATGCTGCAGGGAAAGCAGTGATGTACAACACAATAAAATCAGGATGTGAGCCATAGGAGCAGAGCTATCTACCATTAACAGTGGGGCAACTGATGGATGAAAGAATGAGGGGCCAATGTTGATGAGGAAGGGATGGCACCAGCAGGCCTGCAGAGTAAATCAACAGAGAAGAATTAGATACCAGTCGAATCAATATTCACTGACCCTGGTAAGTAAGACCAGCAGAGGAAGCCAATACATAGCAAAATTCTCTATCAGGGTATTTTCCCTGCAGTATTGTTAGTAAACCTTGTTTGTCTAGGAATGCCAAATTTACTTCAGGCAATCATGTGTTTTGTTGCATATATGTTTTTCTTGGAATTTTCACAGTTTCTCTGGTTGATCTCTGTTATGGTGCTTCTACCTTGTATGAGCCAGGTGCTGGCTCTTGCAGTCGGTTGATTATGAATGGGTCTTGGTGGCTGGTGCATTGAGGTAAGGTTTGCTGCTACCAGAATTAAGTTTGGCAGCTTGATTTTTGTTAGGTTTACAAATGTGAATAACTGTGTAACCATTTAAGGTGTGTAATGTTGTTGGTTGAAATGTTCATTTAGCCATATTTCAGTTAAGTTGATAAAGAAAAGATTTTTCTCTTATGATTCTAGTAATGCATATATATATTGAAAATAATTTCCACATTTAACACTTACTCTAAATATTAAATTAAATTACTATAAAGTTTGTCTTCTGTTTGTAATACATAATATAATTAAAATGAAATAATACACAGTAATATGCTTTATGGGCTGACACAATTCTCTGCTTGGTTACGTCAGCTCCTCCTGCCTGGCCACCAGACGATTGAAGACCTGATGTTGTTCTGTTACATCTCGTTATTAAATTGAGATTAAATTAGATACATCGAGTTAGTAATATTAATTTAATTTTTTAATTAGAATTTAGTGACCACTCCTAAATAATTATTAAGCCTTGCACTGACTAAATGTGGGAAAGTGTGGGAGGGAGGAAAGGTTCACCATTATAGATAAACACAGCCCATGTTGGTGACGTACCATGTTGACGATGACAAAATCCTTGCATTAGTTTCCTAAAGATCTACTACAGTATTCTTGTTTAAGGTAACTGCACTGTTTTTTACCTCACAATTGATAAGTATACAAACATAATATGTAAGATTTGGTTGTTTCTTGTGTATATAAGGTGTTAGGAGTGAGTGTGGCTACACTGTAGGACATCACCATAATCAAAAGTGAGAATACTAACTCTTCAACTTCAAATTGAAGTTAACAATTGATGAAACTGGGATTCTTTCATTACATAATCAATTGTGATTTTCCCAATCTAATAAGTAAATTGCCGGCAGGAGAGGAAGTACCAACTTTACAAGTCAGACAAGAGGCAGCCGTATTTTCCACGAAGCCGCTTCTGGTCCATGGATGATGTTTCTCGAAGTTTACTTTGGTCTATGGATGTTCTTAGACAGGTAAGTATTTTGTTTACTACTAACTCATATTCAGATGGTGCAGTAAATCATATAAATTAATTCATTACTCTGAAATAAACTTGGGAGTAACAGAATTAAAGCTTTAAATCAAATAAATAATAAATATGGCATCATCTGAATTCAAATAATTAATAAATAACCCCCACTGTGGAAATTATGTAAAATAACCTATTTTATACAGTCTGTTAGAAATTAAAATTATATTCTGTAGTTAAGTTATCCACATAATCCCACATTGTTGGTCTTTCATATTTAGATGGCTAATTGCTAGTCATTTGTACCTGGATGTGCAATAGCCTAATGTGCTATGGAACACATCAACTTAATCAAAACTTAATTAAAATAAATTATTTTTGCTAGTTCAGATTGAAGCAACAAACTTAATTAAAATAAATAAAATATTGTAATTAAATAAACAGCCTCGACAAATAATGTCTAGATCACTAGGCTAGTGAAATTGAAATAAGTTTATTGAGGTAAAATACACACAAAGGGATGAGGTAGCTCAAGCTATTCTCACCCCGTTCAGTACATCGTGTTAATATATACATAGACATACATCACAAACAATAAACATATTACCAAACATTCTGAGAGATAAACATATACAATTTCAATTTCAATTCAATTTCAACTAGGCTAGTGTGGCTGTAATTTTATAATAACATTAACAGCAGCACATGTTGGCCTTATGATCTCACCATAATTTACATTTCACAGACCTTTTCTAAGTCTAGAAAAATTAGAAAATGTTTAGAAAAGCTAAACCATTTTGTGGGAATTTATTCACTGATGGTGTTCAGCTCTCACGACAATCTCAAGGTTATGAGGCTACTAAATAAATAAATACCATCAAATATTACCAATGCATAATAAGAGGTTAAATATTACAGTATTTTAAATTTACTTAACTATATTCCTAAGTTTAGGGAATTGTTTAATCTTTAAATATATACAGTAAAAAAAAAAATAACTTCTATCCTTGTCTGCACCAATATTATTATAATGGTTATAGTAGTGCCCCCTGTGAGGGCAGGATTACACTACTCTATATATTTACAATTAATTAAGCTAGGCTTGTACTAAGTGCTGTACAATCTAGCCATTTATTACTATTTTGTGCAGACCTATAATGGGTGGAACAAATTAGCATGAGTTGTCATGAACAATAGACAGTGTTCATTATTTATATATATGGTAAATAATCCTTACATTTAATTCACTATCATTACTGTTATAATACATTTGTGTAAGACAGTGGTAAGATGTACAGCTGCACCATAATACTGAGGGTGATTCTGAAGAGCTAACTTGACTCAAATTATTCACAGCCACAACCATAATCCACAACCGTTGTATTGATCATCACTCAAATTAACACTCAATATACACAAAATATAGATATACCTAATTGTGAATTGACATTAGTATGACAGACAAGATGTCTACCACCAGTACCTTGTACTACATGTCTCTAATGAACCACAAGGGTTATGTGACCTGACAACTTCAATGATGTGAGGAGCTAGATCAATCTTCCACTGTGACTTAAACTACTTGAAAGCCACATGAAGGTGGCACAACAAAAACTAGATAATATTGCTGCAGCAGCAGATAAAACACACACAAAGTCTCACTGAAGAAAAAATTTAATGCAGACAGACTAGCCTACGGGCCGCTCCAAGCAACAGCCTGTTGAACCAACCTCTCACAAGTCAACCCTGGCCCCAGACTGGGCTTGGGGAGTAGAACTCCCAGAACCCCATCCAGGTTGGTAACTTCCTTACCGAAACAGCAAAATATGACGAAAGAGTCCAACATTGTCTGGCAAATTAATCCAAATTCTAGAACAACTGCCTAGACCTGGATAGTACCTGGATGAGGTTCTGGGAGTTGTTGTTGTTCCAACAAGCTGTTCCTTGGAGCAGCCTGCAGGCCCAAATATCAATTACAGCCCTGTTGGTGCAGCGCTTCTTGCAGAAAACTGTCCAGTTCTTGAAGATTTCCACTTTTGTTCTGGAAATATTTCTTATACTTGCTGAGAGGATATTGAACAACCATGGACCTCTGATGTTCATACATTGTTTTCCAATTGTGCCTATGGCACTTCTACTCTTTGTTAACTCTTTTCTGCATTTCCTTCCATATCTGTCACTTCAGAATGTTGTTATTTTACTGTGTAAATTTGGGACGTGACCCTCCAGTATTATTCATAAAAATGTGTATATGCTGTATATGATTGGGCACTGCACATTTTCAGAGCTTTGAGAAGATCCCAATAGTTTAGGTGCTTTATCATGTCTATATGTGCCACATATGTTATCTGTATTCCCTTTATTTCAGCAATCCCTCTTGCTCTGAAGGAAGAAGTGAGCATGGAGCAATACTCAAGGAGGGACAGCACAAGCAATTTGTAAGAGCATTGTGATGGGATCCCTGGATTTGAAGGCTCTCATAATCCATCCTATAATTTTTTGTAGCTGATGCTATATTTGCTTGGTTATGCTCCCTAAACATTAGGTTGTCAGACATCATCATTCCCAGATCCTTTACATGTTGCTAAGCACAAGCAGAGAACACTATACAAACATCAGAGGTCCACGGTTGTTCAACATCCTCCCAACATATATAAGAAATAATGCCAGAACAACCGAGGCACATCTTCAAAAGAAAACTAGTTTTCTTCAAGAAATGCCGTACCAACCGGGCTGTGGTAGATATGTGGGCCTGTGGGCCGCTCTAAGCAACAACCTGTTGGACCAAGCTGTCACAAGTCAATCCTGGCCTCGGACCAGTCTTGGGGAGTAGAACAACTCCCAGAACCCCATCAAGCAGGTACCTGTTATTCCTTTTGACATCATTTTATGAGCTATCACTCAATGGTCACATTTATCAAATGCCTTTGCAAGGTCTGTGTAACCTTACCTTACCTTGAGGTTACCTTGAGGTGCTTCCGGGGCTTAGCGTCCCCGCGGCCCGGTCGTCGACCAGGCCTCCTGGTTGCTGGACTGATCAACCAGGCTGTTGGACGCAGCTGCTCGCAGCCTGACATATGAGTCACAGCCTGGTTGATCAGGTATCCTTTGGAGGTGCTTATCCAGTTCTCTCTTGAACACTGTGAGGGGATTGCCAGTTATGCCCCTTATGTGTAGCGGAAGCGAGTTGAACAGTCTCGGGCCTCTTGATGTTGATAGAATTCTCTCTCAGAGTATCTGATGCACCTCCGCTTTTTAACGGGGGTATTCTGCACATCCTGCCATGTCTTCTGGTCTCATGTGATGTTATTTCTGTGTGCAGGTTTGGGACCAGCCCCTCTAATATTTTCCACGTGTAAATTATTATGTATCTCTCCCGCCTGCGCTCAAGGGAGTACAGATTTAGGCTCTTTAGTCGGTCCCAATAGTTTAGGTGTTTTACTGAGTGGATTCTAGCAGTAAAGGATCTCTGCACGCTCTCCAGGTCAGCAATTTCTCCAGCTTTGAAAGGGGCTGTCATTGTGCAGCAGTACTCCACTCTAGAGAGCACAAGCGTTTTGAAAAGTGTCATCATCGGTATAGCATCTCTAGTGTGAAAAGTTCTTGTTATCCAACCTGTCATTTTTCTTGCAGTTGTGACAGCTACTTTATTGTGTTCTTTAAAGGTAAGGTCTTCCGACATGAGTACACCCAGATCCTTTACATTGCCTTTACATTCTATGTTATGATTTGCCTGAGTTTTGTACGTGGTTTCCGTTTTTATATTTTCATTTTTTCCATAGCGCATGAGCTGGAACTTATCTTCGTTAAATACCATATTATTTTCTGTAGCCCATAGAAAGACCTGATCTACATCTGACTGGAGGTTTGCCGTGTCCTCTATGTTGCCTACTCTCATGAAGATCCTAGTGTCATCTGCAAAGGATGATACAGTGCTATAGGTTGTGTTCTTGTCTATGTCCGATATGAGGATGAGAAAAAGTGCTGGAGCAAGCACAGTACCCTGGGGAACTGAGCTCTTCACGGTTGATGGGCTGGATTTTATTTTGTTGACTATTACACATTGGGTTCTGTTGGTCAGGAAATTGTAGATCCATCTCCCTATTTTTCCGGTAATTCCTTTTGAACGCATTTTATGTGCAATAATGCCATGGTCACATTTATCAAAAGCTTTTGCGAAATCTGTGTAAATTACATCAGCGTTTTGTTTGTCTTCCATAGCATCTAATGCCATATCATAGTGGTCCAGCAACTGCGACAGGCAAGAGCGCCCTGTTCTGAAACCATGTTGCCCGGGGTTATGGAGATGCTGTGATTCCATGTATTTTGTGATCTTACTTCTTAGCACTCTCTCAAAAATTTTTATAATGTGCGATGTTAGTGCTATCGGTCTGTAATTTTTTGCCTCTGCCTTATTTCCTCCTTTATGAAGTGGTGCTATCTCTGCTGTTTTTAGTATATCAGGAATAACGCCAGTATCTAGGCTTTGTCTCCACAGAATGTGGAGGGCCTGCGATAGTGTTTATTTACAGTTCTTGATGAATATGGAGTTCCAAGAATCCGGGCCTGGTGCAGAGTGCATAGGCATACTATTTATGGCTTCTTTAAAATCCAGTGGGGATAGGGTGATGTCTGATATATGATTTGATGTTGGTATCATATCCATGAAAAATTCATTTGGGTTATCAATCTTTAGTGCGTTTAATGGCTCACTGAAAACAGAGTCGTACTGCTTCCTCAGTAGCTCGATCATTTCTTTGTTGTCATCGGTGAAAGTTCCATCTCCATTTCGCAGGGGCCCGATACTAGATGTGGTTTTTGATCTTGATTTTGCATAGGAGAAAAAATATTTTGGATTTCTCACTATTTCACTGATGGGCTTTTCCTCTCTTTGCCTCTCCTGGGTTTTGTATGATTCTTGTAGCTTGCGTTCAATTGTTTCTATTTCTTTACCTAACCTTCTTCGCCGTTCTTGAGATAGGGAGCGACTCTCAAGTTGTTCCGCGATTCGTTTTCTTCGTCTATATAGGGAACGACGTTCCCGTTCCAATCTGCATCTCTTCCTCTTTTTTCTTAGGGGTATGCGGTTTGAACATACTGTAACCCCGCGATTATCCGGGATTCGAACATCCGAAAAACGCCCTTATACGGCCAAAATCGTGAATGGATAAAGTTATCACAATATCCGGCCAAAATAGCCACAGGGACCGGATTCAAGCAGGTTTTCTGCAGAAATTACACTATCCGGTCAGTCCCCCAGATAATCGTGCCTTTGTCCGTATATGAAAACATGAGGCAGGCCATACGGTATTAATCCCGTCTGCCCGAGACTCGAGGCGCATGGTGTAGGTGGGGGTGGGGTGGGTGGGTGGTGTTGGGAGGGTGGGAGGGGTGCATCAGGAGGGACTACCTGGGTACAGGAATTCCCATTAATTTTAGAACAATTAATCATAGCCAAAAACAAATAAAATAACTACTAGTAATTATGTAATAACAAATAAATAAGTTTCCTAAAAGCATTGTGCACAGGCTGAAGTTTCCTTAAAAAATATTGTGAATTTTTTTCCTCCTGGCGGCCTACATAACGCGTTATGGCTGCCCCAAGTGGACCTGTCCAACACTGGTCAACCCATGTGCGTCCGTCCCTCGTGTTATACACAGTGCTGCGCCATTAGTGAAATATTTTGTTAAATAACTTTTTTATTTTCATAGTAACTTTGAACATTTTTGGCCAAGACTATGTCTGGTAGCAGCATCAATCGTTCTGGAGGTGTTAAGAGGAAGAAAGTTGTCCTAACAATTAAAGACAAGTCACAGTTATACGCCTCAACCAGTGCGGCCTCACAGTGTTGCGCCATTAGTGAAATATTTTTTTAAATAACTTTCTTAATTTTCATAGTAATTTTGAACATTTTTGGCCAAGAATATGTCTGGTAGCAGCATCAATCGTTCTGGAAGTGTTAAGAGGAAGAAGATTGTCCTAGCAATTAAAGACAAGTTACGTATTGTTCAAACAGTGAGGCGTCACAGGCAGCCAAGCGCCTTCAACAAGTGAGGCGCCACAGGCAAGCCAAGCTCCTTCAACAAGTGAGGCATTATAGGCAAGCCAAGCGCTTTCAACAAGTGAGGCGCCACAGGCAAGCCAAGCGCTTTCAACAAGTGAGGCGCAAGCAAGCGCCTTTAACAAGTGAGGCGTCACAGGCAAGCCAAGCGCCTTCAACAAGTGAGGGCATGCAAGCGCTTCAACAAGTGAGGTGCAAGCAAGCACCTTCAACAAGTGAGGCCTCACAGGCAACCCAAATGCCCTCAACCAGTGAGGCTTCAGCAGCTGGCAGTCAAAACTAACTTAGCTTAATGAACTGTACAGTAATTTTAAGTGTTAATTTTAGTGTTGTGTTAGTATAGGTTACGTAAATTGTTAAGAATTTTTAACTTCAAGATGTGTGGCATCAATCAAGAAGACGAACACCAACAAGGTAAGTTGAGGTTTCTAGTTGAATATTTAATAATTGTATGTGGCAAGGCAATTCAAATTATGTTGTTTGTAGTATAAAAATAGTTGGAAATGGTCACTTTTGGACTCGTAGGTGAAAAAGTACCATTATCCGAAAAATGTGATAATCCGGCTGAGGGTCCTTCCCATATAGTCCGGATGAACGAGTGGAGACAGTATTTCTAGTGCTACTGAGCTTATTTTTTCCAGGCACTGGTTCAGGTTTGCATTTTCTAGCTGTTCTTCCCAGTTTATTTCTGTGAAGTCCTGGTTTATTTGCTCCCAGTTTATCTGTTTATTATTGAAGTTGAATTTGCTGAAATCTCCTCCACCGGGAATCTGGACTAGTTTTGAAGGTCTACTCCCCATGGTTGTCATAACTTCAATTAAGTTGTGATCTGAGTAACAGGTATTTGTAATCATTATGTTCTTGATCAATTCATCATTATTAGTGAAAATGAGGTCCAGCGTGTTCTCCTTCCTAGTTGGTTCTACTATTTGCTGGTTTAAGGCAAACCTGTCACACAACCGTAGCAGGTCATTTGCATGTGCCTGTTCATTTAGGCTACTTCCTGGTATTCTTTCTGATATTACTGTATTAGCCAGGTGCTTCCATTTCAGGTGCCGTAGGTTGAAGTCCCCAAGCAGGATGATGTTCGGAGCTGGATTTGTGAGGTTTTCCAAGCAGTGTTCTATTTTCATTAGTTGGTCTTTAAACTGCTGAGGGTTTGCCTCCGGTGACTTATATACAAGGACAATAACTACATTTAAAATCTCTATTTTGATTATCAGCACTTCCACCATATCATTTGAGGTGTTTAGCAGCTCAGTACAGATGAGTGTGTCTTTGATGTAGAGGCTGACCCCACCCTGAAGCCGGTGTTTCCTATCACATCTGAAAAGATTGTACTCTGAGATCCATATTTCACCATCATGGTAGTCCTTTGTGTGGGTTTCTGTTAGGGCTGCAAACACTGCATTTGCCTCATGAAGGAGACCATCAATAAAGTGAACTTTGTTGGATTTGCGTGTTTTTATACCCTGGATGTTGGCAAATATAAATGATGTTATCGTGTTAGTGGAAGTGCTGGATGCCTTACTTGGTGTTAATATCCGAGGCTCTGGTAAGGAGGCCAATGTGTTTGCGTCCAGGGTGTGTTGTTTTGGAAGTGATTCGTCCAGTTTTGGTAGTAGGACGGGTGTTGTGTGGTGTAGCACCTGTGTGCTTGTTGATAGTTCGTATTCCAGTCTTGTGGGTATCTCCCTTCCCCTCTGTAATCCTGTAGTGGTTCCATCTGACTGTTCCTCTCTCTTATATTTATTACTCTGTTTCTGCCTTCCTCTAAAAAAATTCCAGTAGTGTCACATTGATCTTCCCGTCTATAACGCTGTGTACCTCTCACGTGGAATTCCGGACACTGAAGATTGTAGCATTTTTTGTCCCTAATTGAAAATTGACATAATTTAGGGTGGAAGTATCTACACCCTGTACCAAAACGGCATGTACCCCTCCCCAACATGTTCCTGCATTTTCGAGGATGCAGAAAATGGCATTTTGCTCCTAATTTTCCATATTTGCATATTCCTTTAGCGTAGAATTTGCAAATGTGTTCCGGTTTTGCCTTTTTCAAGGTATTTATATCTGTGTCTGCATATACAGACACAGGTACAGGTACAGATGTATACCACATCTGTATTCTGTTTATTAACTAATTAACACCTCCACAAATCAAAGTGCTCTGACAACAACCAGAGCTGCTTCACTTGCTAACTGTCTATAACAAGCTAAGCTGCCTGCCATTGATTTACCAACTTTTCAAGGTAGGGATGGCTTCATAGAAACAAAAAATCTATGGGGGCTCTAGAAATTATGGCCAATGTCCCAGTGTATAAACTAGTCACTGGCAGTATAAATTTCACCAAATATTTTTCTCATAACATATAGATAAAACCATCAGAATATCCCGCAAAAATAAACTTTGTTATTCCTCATATAATGAACTATTGTATTCCTTACCTCACTACTAATAGGCAAGGTAAGGAATAATTCTACTTGTTTTATTTTAAAGTGTATATATATTTCTTTTTCAGGCAGTGGCATCGAGGAAACAGCTGGTGACTGTTGATTCATCATTGCTCATGAAGTGATGTAACAAGTCAATCGGGAATGGAAGAAGACAAATTTTTCTTGGCAGAAATTATGTACAGTGTCTGAAAGAAATGATACTCGTGTTGGATACCGAATCTTAATTAAGTGAATGATACTTATAAATAAAGCTAGTTTAGTTCATTTATTATGCACCCCATACCCATCTTGTGGGCGGTAGTGGAAAGGGTTACAGAGGCACATAATGGGCTCAGGGACTGAACCCCACAATTCATTTAGCTAAGCAAGTTACAATCATGATGAGCTAGTTACAAAATTCAATATAAGTCATCACATCAACAATGGGTTCGAGATCGACCTAAAGTACAGGTTCTAAATTAAGCAACTGACATATGTGGAGAGCTAGTGTCAAAATTTATATGTTTGTCCTGCACACCGCCCCCCATCCAGTGGGCAGCGGTGGATAGGTTACAATCACTTAGTTACTACCTACAGTTAAATGAAGCTTGTATGAGGATCCACATCTTGCTACTAGTAAAGGAAATACCGGGTACATGTAATGAAATTATAAGGTGCATTGTCTAAAATCAGAGGCAACTGTTTCACTTCACGTACATGTAAACAGACGTATTTTTTTACCCTATAATAATAGTTTCGTGGCTTGGTGACTTGTTTTGATAATTAATTTCTTTACTCTCTAATGTTCAATATTGAAAATTCTGGATGTGTTACTTAAATGACTACAATGTGTAATGTTATATATAGTAGTTACAGTGTAAGTAGTGGTTAGGTTACAGTATAACTAACTCAGCTTTCAGACAACACTCAGCTCCCTTGTTTAAATCCCTAAACTTGCTAAATATTAACTCCCTCCACACATTCTCTTGTGTCAACTACATTTACAAAACCCTGTTCTTAAATGCAAACCATGCTCTGAAACTCTCCCTGGACAGATGTAATAGGACCCATTATCACCACACCAGAAATAAATATCTCTTTGATATCCCCAGGGTCAAACTTAATCTGTGTAAACACTCTATGCAAATTAAGGGACCTAGTCTATGGAACTCACTCCCTAGTGAATTGAAAAACTGTAAAACTTTTGCCTTATTTAAAAGCAAAACCAAAAAGTACCTAACTTCATCTTCTTAGTTTCCTACACTGAGCTTTAAATTTGCTCTGTACCTAGTGTTACCCAATCTCCTAATTTTTATGTAATTTCAAACAACCTTATCATTGTGTTCATTGCTGTCTTCTTTTATGTGCTAGCCATATGCTGTATTGTGACTACCAATTTTTGTCAACTACCATTCAAGCTGTCATTGCAACCAATCTTATATTGTTTCTGCTGTATTGTGCCTACCAATTTTTTTGTCAACTACCATTCAAGCTGTCATTGCAATCAATCTTAGCTACCTATGTGCTTTAATATACTGTACCTACAATTTTCTCTCATCTTTTTTTTCATTTCATGTAATCTGTTATCATTTTTTGTCTATAATTTTGCAAGTATTTACCTCCTTAAAATTTTCTTAGATTAAGGACCTGCCCGAAACGCTGCGCGTGCTAGTGGCTTTACAAGACTGTAATTACCATATTTGTATCCTCACATTCCTTATGTACATTCTTGTATATGCATAAATAAATAAATAAATAAATAAAAGTATCAGCAATTATAATTCAATTCTGGGGCCCCTCTGTAATCTTTCTGTGAGGGCTCCTATGGTGGCTCCTTAGTGCTGCTACTTTAATTTTTAAAAATTCGCTACTTTCGGTACTTTTTAGCCCAAAATTTCGCTACTTTCGCTACTTTTTAGCCCAAAATTTCGCTACTTTGTAGCCCAAAATTGGGCTACAAAGAAAACCATGCGATTTTCGCAGCTGGCGGGCAAAAATCGCGATTTTCGCCGCTACCGGCCAAAAATAGCGTGATTTTCGCCGCTACCGGCCAAAAAATATGCGATTTTCGCAGCTGGTGGGCAAAAATTGCTATTTTCGCCGCTACCGGCCAAAAATAGCGCGATTTTCGCCAATAGCAGCCAAAAACTGTGCGATTTTCGCCGCTAGCGGCCAAAAATCGGGAGATTTTCGCCGCTACCGGCCAAAAATAGCGCGATTTTCGCCGCTAGCGGCCGAAAACCGTGCGATTTTCGCCACTAGTGGCCAAAAATCGGGCGATTTTTGCCGCTAACGGCCCCCTCCCCGCTCAGCTCGTTGTCGCCGTGTGGGGGCTTCGTGGGCGGCTGCTGGAGTGTGATGCTCCTTAGGACAGTCCTCTGTCCTTTTCTAGCCTTGTGCTCCTGCTGCCGTCCTCTCCAATTCTGCTGGGCACCTTTTCCTTTTCCTTCTGTTTCGTTTTTCTCCCCCCTCTTCTCCTATCTGCTTGCCGTTTCCTGCCGACCTTTTGCTCGTTCTGGTTCTTCCATGGACTTCTTCTATTTTGACGCCCGGGTGCTTGAGGAGGCATACTCATGCACCCGTAGAACTGCAGTACCCGACGTCGAGAGCGAGGGGAACCTTTTATTGTCAATCCCCACTTCGTCACTGAACCCGATCTCGACGGACTGTCGGTTTCTTAAGGTGGCGTTTGTGGGGCGTATACTCACGACGCACCCCTAGGAGGCCCCGACAAGATCGGCGATAGCTTCTTGTTGGGTGTCCTGCCTCTAATTGTGGCTCCATGGTGGGTGTGGGGGCACATTCGTGAGTGAATTCTTAATTTCGTCAAGATGATAACCCCTGTTTCGGCTGCTTCTGGCTTACCTTTTCAGGCTCGTGGGGTGGGCGACCAAGCCCCCGAGTCGGTCCGTATTGGAAGACCGGGCTCTGTAGCCTCCGCTGCATTGGGCCCCGACCTTGCTCCTCCTTTGGCCTCTCTGACTCCTTCCCCTGGCTCCCCTCCCTCCTCTGTGGTTGGGTCGAGCCCCAAGCCCCCAGTGGTGACTACCTCGTCCCCTGGCGCGGCTCCTTCTCTAGTTGTAACTACTGCGCCTTTTAACCCCTCTCTGGGGGTTAAAAGGCTTGGGTCTTGGGGCTTGGTCGCCCACCCCACGAGTCGGTCCGTATTGGAAGACCGGGCTCTGTAGCCTCCGCTGCATTGGGCCCCGACCTTGCTCCTCCTTTGGCCTCTCTGACTCCTTCCCCTGGCTCCCCTCCCTCCTCTGTGGTTGGGTCGAGCCCCAAGCCCCCAGTGGTGACTACCTCGTCCCCTGGCGCGGCTCCTTCTCTAGTTGTAACTACTGCGCCTTTTAACCCCTCTCTGGGGGTTCTCACCGCCGTCCTCGTCACGGCCGCCCTCGCTCGATTCCTTCCAGTTCTGCTACCTATCAAGCCTTGTTTGGTCCCCCTTCGTGGGCCAAATATTTTGATCTCCTCCCTCTTGATTCTGCGCCTCCTGACGATTTCTCCCTTCATCGACATCTCATTGATTCCGTGGATGCCTCCATTACTTTCAACCCCACTCGTCTCGGTACACGTGTCGTTGCTGCTCCTTCTCAGGATGCTGCTTCCCGCTTGGCTGCCTTATCCTGCCTTGGCGAGACCCCCGTTCGGGTCTCGAAGAACGCTCAATTGAATGCCAGTGTTGGCACTATTTTGCTCCCGCCCCATGTTGCAACCGGTGTTCGGGACCTGCGCGACTGCCACGACGATATTCGCCATATCCTCGCTGCCCAGGGCCATTCTATTCTCCAGGTGGACACGTTTACTCGTCCCCCTCGTGGTAGTCGCCGTCAACCCCTCCGGGTTGTGAAGATTACCTTTGATGGTAGGACCCTTCCACCCTCTGTCATTCTTGCTGGTGCCAGGTGCTCTGTCCAGGAGTACATTCCTTCTCCTCGGCTCTGCAACAAGTGCTAGAGGTTTGGGCATGGTGCCCTCCGCTGCTCCGGGACTGTCTCTCTCTGTCCTTTGTGTGGTGGCGAGGGTCACTCTAAGTCGGAGTGCACTTCTCCCCAGGCTCGTTGCCTCAACTGCGGTGAGGCCCATCCTACCTTCTCCCGTGCGTGTGTCCATTACAAGCTTGAGGCAGCCGTCCTCAACCTGAAGCACCGGGAGCGTTTATCTTTTCCTGAGGCGAGGCGCCAGGTTCGCCGGCTCCCGCCTTATGCTAATATCTCTTATGCTCGCGTGTTGCGCTCTTCCTCTCCTCGTCCTTCCCGCCTTCCTCAGACTCACAACCGTTTCCGGGCCTTGGACCCTGATGCGCCCACTGCCCCCTCCTCTGTTCCTTTGGGTTCTCTCCCGAAGGATCCTCCTCCTGGTCCTCTGTCTGGGGTTCCCCTTCCTTCTACCCGGTCTGTCGTGTCTTCTGTGTCTTCTTCCTCGTCCCCCTCCGATCCTCCTTCCCATCCTCTTCCTCCATCTATTGGCTCTCCCCACCGCCTGTCAGTGCGGGCGGATGTCCATCGCTCTCCTAACGGCCGTCGTGTGTGCTCTCGTTCGGCTTCTCCTGTTAAGACACTGGAATCCGTTGCCCGGTACGTAGTTGCTGGGACACCGGTCTCTTTAAGTCAGAAGCGTAAGCCTGGCTCCTCTCCTTCCTCTTCCCCGGCGGGTAAGAAGGCTTCGCTTTCTTCCTCAGCTCCTCCTTCTGGCTCTGTTGCTCCTTCCCCTCCCGTTTCAGTGCTTGCGCCCCCTGTTCCTGCTATGGAGGTTTCTTTGGCCCCTGCTTCCTTTTCGGTTGCTGCTCTTGCTGGGGTGCGCTCCCCTCTTTCTACTCCCCCTCCTCCTGCTGCTGTCCTTGACGGCTCCTCTCCGTTGTCTCCTCCTCTTCCTCCTCCTCCTCCAGACCCTGCCCGCCCACCTCTGCTCTGTTCTCCCGTTTCCTTCCCTCCGTCTTTGCTCAGTTTACCCATGCCCCCTAACCCTGACTTTGCTGACCCTGATCCCGACCCTGATATTCTTTAACGTGCTCTGTTGGTCTTTCGCCTTTGTTTCTTCCTTGTTCTCTGTTTTTGTCCTTTCTCTTCTCGTCGTTGTCCATTCTTCAATGGAACGTTCGAGGTTATTACGCCAATTTCCTCGAACTCCAACTTCTGATTTCGCGGTTTTCGCCCCTTTGTGTCTGTCTCCAGGAGCCAATGCTTGGTGCTCGTCCTGGTCGTTTTCGTGGCTATTCCTTTCTCTTCCCCCCCCCAGCCATTGCTGGGGCTTCTAATTCTTCTGCTCTTTTGATTCGGGCTGATGTTCCCTTTGTTCCTTTACTTTTTCCTTCGCCTCTCCATTGTTCTGCTGCTCGTATCTTTGTGGGGAAATGGTACACAGTTTGTTCCATTTA